CTGCAAGACCGCAGGCACTGTAGGCGAGGGCCGAAAATTCGACCTTGTCCTCAGTGAGCATGTGATAGGTGCAGTGCATGGTCTTGTTCACAGAGAAAGACTATGTTCTTTGTTCACAACTACATTTATCTGTCTCAGGAATTCACTCCCTTTTTCCAATTCCCACAGCCACATCTGCGACTGTCTCCCAACCCAGCCTGGCCTCACACTCCCAGAGGCTAGCACAGATTAGGTGGAGGAAGAAGAGGACACGGGAAGACATGTTTGCTGAACTAATGGGATGCTCCCGAGCACAGGCAGCCCAGCAGACACAGTGGAGGGAGAACTTGTCACAAATGCACCGGGCAAACATGGAACGGGAGGAGAGGTGGCGACAGGAGGACCAGCAGGCGACTCAAACGCTGCTTGGACTAATGAGGGAGCAAACGGACATGCTCCGCCGCCTTGTGGATGTTCTGCAGGACCGGAGGCAGGAGGAGAGCGCCCCGCTGCAGTCTCTCTCTAACCGCCCTGCCCCGCCACCAAGTCCCATACCCCCCTCACCCAAAGTCCAAACACGGAGGGGCGGCAGGGGCCGTGAAAACTTTCACTCCACCCCTGCAGACTGCTCTAGCACTAGAAGGCTCTCATTCCCCAAAATTTGAAAAGTCCTTTCCTACCCGCCTCACATAAGACCCCGTCCAAGTTTCACCCCCCCGTTCCATGTGTGGTTGTTAATAAAAAATACGTTTCTGTTCATTACTGTTTCCATCCTGTTCTTTTGGAGGAGAGTCTGTCTGAAGGGGGGGAAGGGGCTTGGTAATTGGACAGGACAGTCACCTTTAGCAGGGTACAGAGGCGGGGGCAGGTCCAGCAGCAGGGCACATACACAGTGCAGTGACTAGTTACCCTGGTCAGTCTGGGAGGTGGTTTTCATGTTCTGGGAGGGGGGGAGGGGGGGGTGCTCTGTTACTTTGTGGCAGGGGAGGGCAGTTACAGATCTAATGCAGCGGTCCTTACCCTGGATCACAGAGCCGCGCAGCAGGGGAGCTGTAACCCTCCTCCCCCTGCCAGACAGTCACATAGCCGACACATACACGCTGTCCCGCCCAGGAGGGCTGGCAGGCTCTGTTGAAACAACCAGTCCACCACTGCAGAGCCTATCATTCCTGGAGTTTAGAAGCATCATTTGCATCACAACACTAAACCCGCCCCCCGCCACAGTCTGCGTCCCAGGTTTAAAACATTCCCGCGAAAACAGTAATAAAGACAACGGTGTTCATTAACAAAACAGAACAGATTTTATTTTTTGGGAAGGGGGTGAAGGGGGTATGTAACTGGAGAGGATAGTCAACGGTAACTGGGTAAAGAAACGAGGGCAAGTTCAGCTTCTGTGTCCACAAACTTAAAAGTCACTGGTGACCCTGCTCAGTCTGGAAACTGGCTTTCAAAGCCTCCCGGATCCACAGCGCGTCCCACTGGGCTCTTCTAATCGCCCGGCTGTCTGGCTGGGCGTAATCAGCAGCCAGGCTATTTGCCTCAACCTCCCACCCCGCCATAAAGGTCTCCCCCTTGCTCTCACAGAGATTGTGGAGCACACAGCAAGCTGCTATAACAATGGGGATATTGGTTTCGCTGAGATCACAGCGAGTCAGTAAGCTTCTCCATCTCCCCTTGAGACGGCCAAAAGCACACTCCACCACCATTCTGCACTTGCTCAGCCGGTATTTGAACAGTTCTTTTTCTGTGTCCAGGGCGCCAGTATAGGGCTTCATGAGCCAGGGCATTAGCGGGTAGGCTGGGTCCCCGAGGATCACTGTAGGCATCTCCACATCCCCAACAGTTATCTTGTGGTCCGGGAAGTAAATACCTTCCTGCAGCCGTCTAAACAGACCAGAGTTCCTGAAAACCCGAGCGTCATGAACCTTGCCCGGCCATCCGACGTTGATGTTGGTAAAACGTCCCCTATGTTCCACCAGTGCTTGCAGCACCATCGAAAAGTAGCCCTTTCGGTATGATGTCCTGCGCGTTTCCCAAGGTCACTACCTTTGACAGCAGTACCTTCACGATTGCCTTGGCTACTTGCATGACAACAACCCCCACGGTAGATTTGCCCACGCCAAAGTGGTTCGTGACTGACCGGTAGCTGTCCGGCGTTGCAAGCTTCCAGAGGGCTATGGCCACTCGCTTCTGGACAGTCAGGGCTGCTCGCATCCGGGTGTCCTTGCGCTTCAGGGCAGGGGACAGCAACTCACAAAGTTCGAGGAAAGTCCCCTTCCGCATGCAAAAGTTTCGCAGCCACTGGGATTCATCCCAGACCTGAAGCACTATGCGGTCCCACCAGTCCGTGCTTGTTTCCCGGGCCCAGAATCGCCGTTCAACAACATCCATATGCCCCATTGCAACCGTGATGTCCTCGGCACTGGGTGTCGTGGTTTCAGACAGGCGTGTGCTACTCTCGGAGTTCAGGTACTCACCCCGCTGCCGTAGCCTCCTCGCCTGATTTCTCTCTATCTGCCTCAGTGAAAGGTCGATGATGAGCTGCGAAGCGTTGACAACGGCCACAACTGCAGCGATGGTCGCAGCGGGATCCATGCTCGCAGTGCTGTGGCGTCCGCGCTGTCACTGACCAGAAAAGTGCGCGAACTGATTTCCCGCCGGCGCTTTCAGGGAGGGAGGGCGGGAGTGACGGTTGGATGACGACAGTTACCCAAAAGCACCCTCGACACATTTTTTTTCCCCCAGAAGGCATTGGGGGCTCGACCCAGAATTCCAATGGGCAGCGGGGACTGCGGGAAAGCTGCCCACAGTGCACTGCTTCCAATGTCGACGCTTTCCCCGTTAGTGTGGACTGACAAAGTCGAATTACTGTCCTTAGTGTGGACACACACGTTCGACTTTGTAATATCGATTCCACATATTCGATTTAACTAAAATCGAACTACTCTCGTAGTATAGACATACCCTTAATCATTACAGTTTTTACCCCTGATCAGCAATAATGTCATTTTTTATAAAGACAACTTCTGCCACTTCAATACTGTTGCTACCTTCAGAACCCATCTGTAGGTCCTCTCCACACCTGTGACCTAAAATAATTGGCTAGGTCCTTACCACTTTTCAACTTCTTTGGGTCTACCTTGACCACTACTCCAACTGTCTAGCCCTTTTTTGCTCCCTTTATTGGTTTTCCCTCCTTCGCTCTGCACAATCACCCAATTCATTCTTTGTCCTACTCATCTGTCACTTTCAGCATACTGCCCCCTATGCTAGAGACACCCTACATTGCATTATATCCAGCCCATCTAAAATCACACTTCTTCCCGTAGGCCCTACCCATGACATGTAAAATTTACAAGATGTATACCAAACGTGACTGTCTGCATGGTGTTCGACTAGTTTCTGTACTCTGAGGCTGAGATGTTATCTTCAATGTATGCTTTTTGTGTAATACAAAAACAGGGTCAAACCATGTTAGTAGCAGTGCTTTAATCCAGGCCAAGCCACCTTATCCCAGAAACAAAACTGACTCAAAACAAGTTTAACAGAACTACATTTTAATGAAATATTGATATGGTCTTTGCTGCTGATCTACAGCTTAACCAGTCAACACTTTTTCTTAGACCAAATTGCACTAGTCCTTTCCAGCAATAGGCACCCAAATCCCATACTTTAAGTTTGAGTTGCTCTCGGGCTAGCTCAGACTAAGGGACTTAAGAGGGACAGTTGTTTCTCACTGATCCTGCCAGCCTTGTCTGGAAATTGAGTTCTCACAGGAATAAATGACTAATTATTCTTTTCATGAAGAAAGTTTATTATTGCAGGTCTGTTACAATTCTAGTAGAAAGTAAAAGCTAATAAAGAAAATGAGCTAGGACCAATTTTTCTCATCAACAAGCAGAGGAAATGAATAAGCAGAGTACATACACTATTGAACCCAGCAGTATGATAAAGATAAAACACCTTCCATTCTTGACTGCAGATCAGTGTCTCCCCCATTATGGTTTCCAGTTCCTGCACCAGATGAAGAGGGGGATGGTAATAAAATATTGGCAGCTATTTATGGTGGTTAGTGGTAGTTCTTCTATTAGTCAGCTTGTCCTAGAACTAGGAACTGCTCCATCCTAGCTTATGTAACATGCAGCAAGCTTTCCATTCAAAGAAGTTTTATTGTTTCTAATACATACTGTAGTTGTGAGGGGAGGATACACAATAGCTAGAATGAAAAAGCTACCTTGACTGCAGTCTTCAGACCAATAAATGCCCAGAGTTCATGTTATTACATCCAAAGTCACTTGAAGTTCTTATTATCTAAACACTATCCTGAAGTCTGGTATTGAAGAAAAAGGACCCCTTCTCTGAGAAGCTTATCTTTCAATATTGTACAGTTAATCCACTCAAGTTTTTCATGGAAACTTGCCTCTTCAGCTCAGCTAAACTCAACTCACTGTAGCCACTAGGACAGGAGAGAAATACAGCTTTTTATGGGCATACGCCTTTTCTGGGAACAAGTTGTTGACTGGGAGAGTCTGTTTGTGCATACGTGAGGCCTTGTAACTGTTCATCCATATTATGTTCTTGTTTAACTACACGTTAGGTTAAGCTAGTCAGATTCCTAGGGTGTGAGAAATGCATTTAATTAAACCAACTCCAATGATAAAAACAAATCTAAACATTCAGAATTTCTTCCCCCCTCTTAATGTTCAGAAGCCAAAGGCTGGAAGAGCACTCAAAGCTACAGCCCACACTTCACCCACCCACCTATTGACAGTCTGCCTGGGGCTTGCCACAAGAGAGTGGGAGCAAACTGAAAAAACCACAGATGTGATGGATGTTCATTAAGTTGAAGGGGTCTACTGGCCTAGAAGTTGGCTTTGGTTTAAGTCACTTCTACAGAGCGAGCTGTTCCCCAGCATTGTCATAACATGCTGAGTCAGGCTGTGTGGGGGATTTGATTGGCTCAGAAGAAGCAGGGGAGAGGTTCTTGGACCCAGCCACATGAGGATCTTGAGCTGCAATAATCACAGAAGTTTTCTGCATACCAGCTCTACTAGAGTCCTGAGAGTGCTTGTTGCAGAAAATCTGACTTTCCTTATCTAGAGCTGTGTTCTAAAAAGGAAGGTAAAAGACAAAAACAGTTACATCAATGACCCATATTACCTGCCCCATTAAAACATTGCACGACACACATTTGGGGCATGCATTAGACTCAGAAAAAGGAGAAATAACATCAGAAATCTTAATGAATTGTAGGGTGTTTTGGTGATCAGAGGGATAACTTATCTCCTATACACGCCACAGCATCCAGCAGGTCATTAATAGAACCAAGTTTGATGAAGTACTTACAAAGTTTTAACTTTTTTTTTTTTTATTACAAGTCTGATGTGGATAAGCAGGCAGGCATGGTTACACCACCATATGGGGAGTAAGTTCTAAGGATTCATTTTCACCAAAATTCAGAGTGTGACTGTGCTGCCAATATTTTAACAAGGAGCACACACATTTCATAAGCCTGTGACAAATCCCAGGTAGCCACAGGAGCTTGCAATGGAGGTCTCAGGAATTTGTTTCCTCATTTAAACTAGAACACTCTTCCTCTCATACTTTGTTCTGGGTGTTAAATTTGCATGAAGCTGCATTTTACTGGAAATAGTTGTTGGATAATTAACAAGATAGCAGTGGAAGCATGGGGGATTAAGATGCACTAGGGGAATTGTAGAGTATCTGCCCTGAGATTTTTTTTTTTTTTTAAAGTACCTAACACCTCTGCAAGATAAATTAAACTAACTAAAAGTTTAATTTACAGAAGTACCTTCAAGTTAACTGGAGGGCCTGTCCCTAAGCAGGTCATTGGAGAAGGGAGCATCTTCAGTTAGGCTTCAATACTGACTTAGTATTTGGTTACCTATTTGCAACTGGCTGGGGCCCAGCTCAGCAGGTTTAATGATGTTTTTCCTGAGGGAGATTATTCTATACTGCTGATCACTCCAATGACTGGTTCTGAGCAGCATAGAGGCCATAAGCATCAATGGTGCATGACAGGATCCAGCTTACTAGGTGCTGACTCTCATGCTTGCCCACTTCTTTCCTGCCCTACATTCTGCTATATAGTCCCAAAGCTATAATTGGGTGGCTTGGGGAGTTGTTTGGATAACACTGCTCATTTCACAAGCCCACTTGTGAAAGTTAGTCCAGAATAAATCAGGAATAGTTAAAGTTACACTTACCTTATTCTGGACTAGCTTTAATGTGTAGACAAGCTCGAAGGCACACACATTTTTCAAAGATAGCCATTTACTTGGAAGCAGTATGGGCCGTCTTGCCTCCAACCTTCCCTTTCACAAAATCTGATGTTTTGCAAGGTGAAAAATAACCACTCTGCCTAGATTTGCATAAAAGTTTCAGAGATATAAAAGTCACCAAGTAAAATGGCAAATGGTTATCTGGAACATCACTGAAAGATGTTCTTTCACTTTTATGCAGTTCTAAAATTCTGCCCATTTCAGGATAGCTGTTATTTCTCCTTTTTCCTTTGTCAAACTCAGAACATGTATTTTGTGCAGCAGAACAAAACATTGCAGTTAGTACATACCATTGCCTTGGACCTACTCAGAGGAAAGCAATGCAGGCATTGGGAAAGGAGGAAAAAGGAAGGAAGCAAGGGATAGAAACTACACTTACTTTTAAGCAGAACTATCATCATTGAAACAAATTTAGATTTAAAAATAATATTGAAATTCTTAAAAAAGTCTGTAAATAAAAGGATTTTACAGCAAGACATTCTTAGCAGCAGAAATAGTGCTTTCCCTGTTGAAGGCAGCAGGAAGCAGATTTCTTGTGCAGTTCCACTTATCTACCACATGATGGTGTCATCCGTGTTAAATTTGTTAGTCTCTAAGGTGCCACAAGGACTCCTCATTGTATCTGTACTAACTGCGGCTGAACTTCTTCTCTAAGGTTTTCAAAGAACCTGTATTAGAACTAAGTGGCTACATCATGCTATAGAGGGTTTTCATTGAACAGTTTCCTCACACATAAAAGAGAAAGTGATATGGCTTTGTGATGCTACATTACGTTTAAGGGACTTGATAACACAAACTCTGAACTGTAGATAAACCAGCGCAAAGATGAGGCAGAAAAAAGGTTTGGGACTAAATTCTTATAAGGTTCCTTTTTCCACTAAGTATCTTAATAGAAGACTCAGACATTATCCCTAGTCTTCCCTGCATATTCAGTTACAGAACTAGGCAGATATGAATTTTCCTTACTACTTGTTAAAGGGAGATAAACAAAAATAAGTTTTCATTGGCTACATAGGTAACAGAAAAAACCCACACCAAGAAGAAGCCAGATGCTGTACTGTGTCAGAGATTTGAGACAAGCTTAAGTGGCATGCAAATTGGAGAGGGGCTGAGAGTTAGAATTAAAATTGCTCTTATTAAGTTTTGTACCAGCTTTCAGCTTCAGGCTTATCCAGTCTCAACTGTATAAAGAATGAAGCGCTGAAGTCCCTCTCAAACTGTCAAGTCAAACTGTCAAATGAAATGTAGACAACAGCATCAACCTGAAATCAATATTGTCTTCACTCTTGTGAGTATTTTGATGTTACTACAATTCCTACTTTTGAACTTGTGACCTATTCAATTCATATATATGTACATGTAAGTGGGCAGATTTAAATAATTTTTCCACATGCAGACAACTACAAATATTTATTAAAGTGGGACAGTGACACTACACTTACATGTACATCATGTAAGGCCATCATATATAATTGATACAGTGGAAAAAATCATCTCTGGCTACTAACTGAGTCAACTGCAAGTGCTGTGTTGCCAGAGTGGCATATTCAGTATAGCAAATATATAGCTGTGCAATATAACTTCTTGAAGGTATCTGAAGACACATTTTGTGCCATAGTATCCATCCCTGGGCTGGAAAAAAGACAACCACTTGCAGGGGTGAGAACTCGTAACTCAGTCTGCATAGTTGTTGGAGCACAGCAGTGATGACTAGTCAGTAACAAGTTTACTGGTGAAATGGAGCTGGGCTAAGCTCACCCACACAGCTCACTGTTGTGCAAAAAAAAAAAAAAAAAATCAGACAACTTTTGTAAATTCAACTCGGATGCATTAAGATTCTTCTATATAAAATTCATCTATGTTTCCTACCAAGTCTGGCCTCTGATAACATTCATTTGCAGAGATTAGATAGGGCCAATCATAACTCTGGGAAACATCCAAAAGATTAAATACACTTTATGATGAGGAAGTGGTTTTAGATAGAATATTTGCTCCAGAAAATTTAGTCTTGTGGACAAAAGGTGCTACAAGAAAACCACCATTAAAATGAAGTGGAAAAGATTTCAGTGATTTCCAAACTAGCAGGTGAGCTTAATGAAGTATTTTTTGCATTGAGAGAGAGTGTGTGTGTTTAAAAGAAATATCTACAGCTCAGCTAATGCACCTCAATACAGACCTGGCTGCTCCTGAGCAGTGACCCACTCAGATTGAAATAATACATGATGTATAGACTAGGATTACACACACACAAACAATACCAGGCTTGTTTTTGGTAGTGCATTTGTACCACTCTGTTCTTTAAATAATTATTTCCAGGTTAAAACATGTTAGACAAATATACAAAGTCATATCTACACATAAAAATGCTGCATTTGCTTACCATGATGACAGAGACCCCAGCGGTTGTATTGTTCTGCTTGGGTAGCATGTTGTTAAAGTGCTGCTTCAGTTTACCTGTTACTTCAGCTTGCATATTATTCTCCTGCGAGGCATCATCCTGTGTAAACAAGATACACACACACACACTACTCCTCAGGTTTGGGGTTAAAAAAAAAAAAAGTGTTTGGAAATAGAAAAATTACAAATAAAATCGACAGAAGGGATTTTCCTTCATCCTGGGATCCCTGCTCATGCAGGGAATTTAACTGCTGGGCTGCATAGAGAGAGATTCAACCTTTTTTCTTTTTAAAGTCTTCTGCTGCTGAGAAACAGTTTACACTGAGCTCAAGTGAGCTGCATATGGCAGGAGAAACTTTGGCTTAAAATGTGGTATTTTGTTTTTCAGGTTAAGGGAGGACACTATTACGAGTGTGCCATGACAAGACACCTGCTAACGACTCCTGGCATTAAATGTAACATGTATGTTTTTACACAACAGCAACATTGCAAAGGAAAAGTAACAGCCATTAAAATGCTGATGACCTAAGAGTATTTAAATAAAGCCTAATGATGATCTTTAATTTCCATACATTGTACATTGACTATTTATATCCATACAATATTTGTTAAGTGGCTAAACAAATGGGGGCAGTTATTCACCAGCAACACCCTTTTTTTTTTCTTTTATAATTCTCAGAAAACCAGGATTTAATTTGAGTTCTTCTCTTTCGAGGTAAATTGCACCAATTTTGCTTAGTGCTCCAGCCTGAAAGTTCACAGAATGACACACTGTGAAATGTTTCAGAGTAGCAGCCGTGTTAGTCTGTATCAGCAAAAAGAACAAGGAGTACTTGTGGCACCTTAGAGACTAACAAATTTATTTGGGCATAAGCTTTCGTAGGGGGAAAATTAGCATGGGGAAATAGTTTTTACTTTGCTGGCAATAAGGACTGGGAGTGGATGGGTCATTACACAATGCCCCTCTGCCATGTCCATTGGCCAAACCGGACAGTGGCTACGCAAAAGAATAAGATAATGGACACAAATCAGACATCAAGAATAACATTCAAAAACCAGTCGGCGAACACTTCAACCTCCCTCGTCACTCAATTACAGACCTAAAAGTCGCAATTCTTCAATTCAAAGACAGACTCCAACGAGAAACTGCAGAACTGGAATTAATTTGCAAACTGGACACACCATTAAATTAGGCTTGAATAAGGACTGGGACTGGATGGGTCATTACACAAAGTAAAAACTATTTCCCCATGCTAATTTTCCCCCTACTGTTACTCACACCTTCTTGTCAACTATTTGAAATGGGCCATCCTGATGATCACTACAAAAGTTTTTTTTCTCCTGCTGATAATAGCCCACCTTACTTGATTAGTCTCGTTAGAGTTGGTATGGCAACACCCATTTTTTCCATGTTCTCTGTGTATATACATCTTCCTACTGTATTTTCTACTGCATGCATCCAATGAAATGAGGTTTAGCCCAGGAAAGCTTATAAATGTTAGTCTCTAAGGTGCCACAAGTACTCCTCGTTCTTTACACTATGAAATGATTTTGAAAATAAACATTTGATTATTACTGTTGGTAGGGGAGATCAGTTTATTATTTATTACTAATCTCCTACATTAGGATCACAAAAGATGGACGCCAGGGAAGTCTCTCCCTATGGACACACAAACAGTGTTAAGTTACATTTTTGAAAATGGGACCCTACATTGTGCCTCTCCATTTTACACACAGATTAACTGTGCATGTAAAGTATGTCACTGACTACATATTATACACCAAAGCAGGTACTGGTGCTGCCATATATGTATTTTGTGAGCACCATGTTTTGGGCCAAATTTCAAAAACAGGCGCTTGAGTTACCCATAAGGCCCCTCTGCCACAAGCATGCCTGTCTGGGATGGAGGGCATTTTTGGTGCTACGGAGGGGGATCAGAGGAGCTACCCAATGCCTTCTAACCTATTTTCTGTTAGGAAAAAACCCTCACCCTGCTCCACTGGAATATAAAGTTGCTGCCCACTTCCTTATGTAGCAATATAGAATGATAAAATCCTATGCTATTGGGTAAACAGCCAACATATTGGCTATCTACACTAGCTGTGTCTCTAAAGCATCCTCATGTTCACAGAAAAATCATGTTAGCAAAAGAAGCTGTCCAGTTGAATGCTCTCCATCCCTTATTCTTGTGAGCTTTTTTGTAAATTCAGTTTCATTTGCTTCAAAAGACAGCCCACAATAACCTCTGTGCAGCAGAAGGGTAGACTTCAGCGTATAACTGTCCTCTGTGGTGTCATTTATAGGCAGTTCATTCTTTGTTGATGGGGGACATAGAACTCAGCTTGCCCAATTCTGTTTATCAAGCAACTTCTGTCACTACTTCTGACAGCACTATTACAGTTAGAGCTTAATATTATATATCTAATTAGGGACAAGTACAATGCAGAGTTTACTCACGGACACCCAGGGATGGCCTAGGATCTGTGCTGCTGTATATCGAGCTTCTACGTTTACCTGTAGCATCAGACTAATTAACTCCTGAAAAACAAAAGAGTGAAAAGAGAGGGAACATTAATATTAAAATGTGAAGCAGCTTTTGCATTGAATTCTTCCCAGCATTCAAAGTGGTGTTTTTCCACTACCTGGTTGAAATCCTGGCCCTGCTGAAGTCAATGGCAAAACTCCTATTTGACTCCCAGGGGGACAGGATTTCACCCTCACACTCTAAATTGCAGCTGTAATATAAAATATATTCTTCTGTACATACATGCAGGCAGCATGGACAGACTAGTCAGAATGGAACTGCATCCTCCTTAAACCCTCTGGGTACAGCACATATGCAGATACCCTCATGCAAAAAGAAAGTCCCATAATGTTTTGTAACCATCAAGTGACAGGGCACATAGTGTTTGAGTAATTTACAGAGAGAGGATAAAGCTGCTGAAGGGGGCTCAGTGGGGATGAGGAGGATGGCAGAGCAGAAAGCACCTGCCAAGAGCACCAGCTTGTACCGAAAGCCAAGTGCATTTATGAGCCTGGAATTTTAAAGCTATTACTAGCAGGGATGATTTAACTGTACAGACAGTAAACTAATACACAAAGATAATTTTTTTATTTTAAGCGCTATTACTAGAACCATCTGTAAACATTTAAGATGATACCATTCCTTTACTGCTGGAAAATGAAAGCTACCCATCAGCACAGAGCACTTAAGAATTCTATTCCAAAGGAATGACTGACAGCACCCAATGTTAGTTAATTTTAATTATCTATACTATGGGCTAGTTTCTTTGCCTTGGCTACTCTGTGTTGCTCCAGAAGCACAAAGGGGTCGTTAGCCAGCTTGACCAATCTTATAAGGATCCCTCCCACCATGAAAAGGGAATCCCCAGACAGAGTTAGGCCAGGAAAAAAGGGGGCATTGTCTAGAGGGCTGATGTGCTTACGTTTCATGGAAGTCACTGGGATTTCACCGTACATTTAACTGTAAGTATATGCTTAACTGCTTTGTTGACTCAAGGCCTTTGAAACGCTCAGAGACTATACAATAGGTTCACTGCATATTTCTATGGAACTTCTGTTTAGTACTGTCACAAGTGGGTCTGTAGCCATGGTAAATCTTAAGAGCCTAGTCACACAAAAGGCAGCCAGTGAAGTTATGAACACTAGGTGTAACTTTTCATCTCCAACTTTTATCAAATTTATTAATTCAAGTTCCTCCTTTGCAGCTGGCAACTGCAGGTTCCAGACACAAAATAACATTCATGAAGAAACTAATTAATGTCAAATAATTCCCATCATTAAAACTCAACTGCCCCATTTTTTTGGAAAGTTTCTGTAGCCTCAGGATTGTCTCTTGCTTTATGTACTAATGAAGAACATTCCAATGAGACTTATTCTAGTAGACAGCAACTTCTCTGGAGAAACAATACATGTGTAATTAGGAGTCTTTTGTTCACCCTCCAGTTGTGGAAAATGACTCTCTCAGCAAATTACCCAGCAAGAATACGAGCCAGGGATAGTGGGCTGGATGCTTCAGGCTAGTCACATTGTACTCAGTTCAAGTTTGGAGCAGGAGGGCCACCTCTGAGGCTGCTTGGTGCCGGTTTGACAGCTGCTCTCTTTTGTGCAAACTGCCAATTGATTTGAGGAAGGAACCATTTTGGCAGCTGAAAACTGGGAACCCCTGGCCACACTTCATATTTTAACAGCCAGGAAAGGGGAAGACACGGCTATGAAAACTGTAAGCTGTGTGAATGCGCTCCTAGGCTGGGGCTAGACTTGCTGGCTTTAGGGTTGCTTTGGCTCTCAGAGTAGTGCAAGACAGGTTTATCTTAAGGAAGAATTGGGACTATGGTCTTTTATGAGGCTATCATCAATGCCACTCTAGCCAATGGCCATTAGGAGATTGAGAGCAAAGGAGCCAATTTCTTTCTTTCGATAACTCTGATTTTCATCTGCAATGCACCCATGTGCCCCTGGACTCTGGATGAATCCTATGAACAATCATTTACACATCACTCACGGGAACACTACTATAGCTAGGACCCTAAAAAATTCATGGCCGTGAATATCAAACGCATCATGGACAATGAAATCTGTATAGCATGGGGTAAAAGCACACAAAAGACCATATTCATGGGGCCAGACCAGCGTTTCTCAAATTGGGGGTCCTGACTGAAAAGGGAGTTGCAGGAGGGTTGGAAGGTTATTTTAGGGGAGTCACGGTATTGCCACCCTTACTTCTGCACTGCCTTCAGAGCTGGGTGGCCAGAGAGCGGTGGCTGGTAGCCAGGTGCCCAGCTCTGAAGGCAGTGTCTCACCAGCAGCAACAAAGAAGTAAGAGTGGAAATACCACACCATGTCATCCTTACTTCTGCACTGCCGCAGGCAACGGCTCTGCCTTCAGAGGCTCACTCTCCAGCTGCCCAGCTCTGAAGGCAGCACCGCCACCAGCAGCGCAACCCCCCCCCACAATAACCTGACGGCCACACACAACTCCTTTTTGGGTAAGGATCCTTGCAATTACAATACTGTGAAATTTCAGATTTAAATAGCTGAAATAATGAAATTTACGATTTTTAAAATCCTATGACCGTGAAATTGACCAAAATGGACCGTGAATTTGGTAGGGCCCTAAATAGCATTTGGGCCTCTACAGGAGTTAGGGTTAGAATTTCAAACATTGCCTTTAAATGACTGAATCTATGAAATCAAAAGGAAGTGGTATCTTACTAATACTTTACTTAACTGGCAAATCAGCTATTTGCATCTGAATGAGCTCTAGCCAGCTTAATGCTTCTAGTCCAAAGATGAAATGGGAACAGGTGAAATGAACAGTGTCTAGTCCACGTAGCAAGCAGCCCTCTCTCAAAAGGGTGATGAGGGGGGAAATTTGGAGAGATACTTACACTGCAGCTGAAGCACTGAACCTAGTATAACCCTCATCATTAAATAAACCAAACTACATACAATGCTCACTGAATGTAATCAACATTCTGTTACAATCATTCAGCCAGAAAGTAGGGTTGTGAGACCTGCATTTTCATCACTGCCATGCTCTGAAGAGTACAAGCATTTGGAATATAGTCAACAATAGTACAGATTCTGTGTAGCCAGGAAGGCACAATGCTCCCACTGGCTTGTCAAACAATTTCACAGCTTGAAGCCCTGGGTTCCTAACTTATTTCAGTACCTTAGCTGAGTCAGTGATGTTATCCCAGTACGGAGAGGGAAACTCTAGCTTTCCAATGAGGATCTGATCAAAGAGATCTTCCTGAAGATTGTTCTCACTGTGGATGAGTAACAATGGAAGAGAACAAGAGAAAGGGGTAATTTTTGTCACGCAGGCATTAAAGTTACATTTTTGAGGTGGTGAAGAAGCAAAATTCACATCAACTATTACAGAAGTTTGCCACCTTGTACTCTAGGAGTGTAAGTTTGGCAGTATTACACCATAGTTATCCTGTCAGTAGTGGTGAGGATGGGGAGGCAATATACAGGAGAAAGGCCTCAGTCTGTCTCCCATTCAAATAGAGTTTGCATTGGTAACATGAGGACAATCATCTGTGCAGTAACAGACAAGGTACAATCTGCTGCTGGTGCTGGGCAGGAAAAGTAAATCAAGTTAGTCTTTTATTTTCCCTGAGCATCCCCATGGCTCCAGAGGACCAGCCACAATAGGCAAGCGATGTGTGTAGGCACACCAGCAGCAATGATGTGATCCTCTCCTGTGAGCCAATCCGACAATTTTTTTTAAATACACAGAGAGGATTAGGAAAACCTGGGATAAATTCAATCCCATGCTGAATTTAACAACCTGTGCCACTGGCATAATCCATAACAATGAAAGAAATAGCCCCTATAATGCCAAAAAGAGGGATGGGGGGCAGGAACAGAATATACACACACAGCAGATCTGTTGAATAAGATGGGACCAATTTTACAATTGTACTCACTTCTGATTAGTGGTTTAAATCTCTAACAATATTGCTCAGATTCTCTTACATTTGTTCACACCTGATTATTGCAGTCAGAAGCATGACAGAATAATTGTAATGATATGGTACATCTTTGAAGCGCGAGCTAAACATTGCTAACCAGTCAACTGTGTCTGAAAAACAAATTGTAGAACTAAACGGCAACTTCTCTGCCTTTTCACAATTATTTAAAAATAACCTGGGAGGAACAACATAGCCACAGAGTGGCTAATTTTAACTTTTAATAAAGCTAATCTAAATGTGCCCTTTGTTGTGTAATTGTATCCCATGCCCTTGAAAAAACACAGGCAATGATATATAATGGATAACTCTGGTCACCTGATAATAAAAATTAGATACTTCCTGATTTAAAATGTGGTTTCTGATTCCTTCTCTCCCAAAGTTCCAGTTACTTTACTTTATTTTACTCCCATCTCAAACAATCACAGAAAAGAAAAGTGTGTTGATATTAAATCTAAGTATGGATATTATATGCTGGACATGCAGAGTAACCATAACAAATTTTTGATTCACTGATTACAAACTCTTTCATATGATGGGCACCAAGTTTGTAATGAGATTGAAAACAATCATCATCTACAGAGCTCAACTAATAGAAATAAGATATTTAAATGAACGTTGCTAACTGGAATCATTTACCTGTGACCACTTCTCCAAGATAAAAACAGTAAGTTGAACTTGCCAGCTGCAAACACTAGAGGGTGTACAATACATGCTCACTGCACTGAGCTCTTGCTGTGGAGTATGGGATTGGAGGACAAAGGGACAGAGAAAGCTGGCTTCTCACAGTAAGACACCCCTACACACCTGACAGCTGGTCACCCACTCCTGTTATTTATTTTATTTTTTTTAAATAGGCAGGAATGCACTTCTCTCTCTTGTGCTCAGAAATAGTGACAGCTGGCAAAAGGGCAGGGTGATATCTAAACTAGGGGCAGCTTAAGCCAGTTAGAAAAGGAGAAAAAAAACTTGGGGAAAATAATAGTTTGGAAACAGCTGGAGCCGACTATTGCTGCGGGGGGGGGGCAGGGGGGTGCAAGGGGAATCAGATTTCCCCCTTATTTGAACAATTATTTGGGTAATTAATTCTTTACTATCTTCCCTTTGACCTGGAACTAAACTCACCTGCGAAAAGGTGGGAATCCACAAAGCAGTATGTATGTGATCACACCTGCAGCCCATATATCCACCTTTAAGCCATATCTGTAAAATAAGAGAACGAGTTACTTGTGCAGCTTCCAAAATGTGTCACCTCTAGTTAGTTGTTTTTTAAATTAATACATACTGAGAGTCTGCCAAAGGCAGATGTATTAGCATTTCATAGGAGTGGAGTTTGTCCTTCAATTAATACCACGGAGTATAACAAGAGGGGCATCTAGTCAATATTTTTCTGGTTGTCCTCCAGAGTATTGAGAGCCCTGAGGATCCCACATTTTCCTTTGTTTTTAGTTCACAATCCCCCAGTCTCCATGGAACAGTCAATAGCTTTCTGGTCTGATTCAGATTCTTTTCAGCACCAGCCCATAATAATCAAAGGAGGATATTGTTGAGAGAGAGGGGGAAATCCTTTCCCTCTCCTGCCACAGTGGACAAACTGCTTCTGCATCATTCCCAGACACTGCAAACTGGGGAGCAAGCTTCCAAGTCTTGAGTCTCCTGTATGAATGAGTAACACTAGGATGAAGAACCAGGACTTTTCTTTTTAAACATATGAATACAAATACTGTAGGTCAAAACATGTCACATTTTCTCTGATTTTTCTAGCTCTGCAGGTGGATCAAATACCCTTTGACATCTTGGTCTCTCACAGCTCTCAAAAATACTTTTCAACAATTGTGCTATGCAAGAGCAACAGTGCATAAAACAATCTGATATTAGAAAATCCAAATTATTCATGCCAACTATCACCTACTCCCCAACCAAGAGGTCTGTGATTTACTTCCAGAATCTTTGTGACAGAGTCAGAGCCATCTTCCCAATTAAGCAGTTAGCTGCAGCAGCATCTCTTATCTAAGTTACATGTGTGCACACAAATATTTTGCAGAGTGGTATCAGAGGAAATATATATGAAAGAGGCTGATATATTGCACTCATTAGACAAGCAGTTGAAGACCAGTTTAAATGACCCACACCCACAGAGCAGTGAAATCAAATATTTACCAAGGGTCAAAATTTGGCCCTTTTACACACAGAGTAATAAACAGTCTTTTACACACCAACTTAGGAGACAAAACTGCTGTATCCTCACCCTGTCTCTGCAATGATTTCTGGAGCCACATATGTAGGGGTGCCACAGACTGTATACAAGGGTTCTTCAACCACTGTGGCCAGTCCAAAGTCCCCTAGCTTCAAGGACTTTGTTCCATCTGAATACTCGCATACCTGGGGTTAGCAAAAACACAACAGGGATTGAAGGATATTTTTCCAATACATGAGGGAGTAAAACAGCAAAGGCTGAACATGATATAATGTGATGAGAAGAGAGATTCTTAAGCTATCCACTGCATTGGTTTTGCTCCATGATTCTTGAAGGCTTGGACTTCCAGTGCTGTGATTCATCTTTGTGCTTGAGGAGCTTTAATTCTCTCTTGGAAAGTTCTGATGGGGTTAGACTCAATTTGAGAAAGGAAATAAATCTAAATGATTTTTAAAATAGATTTTACTCTGTTTCTTGATAGATCTAGTCCCCACCTACTCCTAAAAATCTAGAACCAATTTCCTATTGCTTTTAGTAATACTATTCACTTACATAGTGCTTTCCATCCTGAGCATGCTATAGAATGATGTATTGCTCATGCTGAAGGACAGGTGTAGAAGATAGGTTCCTGCCTGGAGAAGATTACACTCTAAATGAAGGTTTAAATATTAAATTTTCATAACACCCTTGCAAGGTGTTTATTGCCAGAGCAATGGTTAGTGTAATGGACAGGACTAGAGTTCTGGAGTTCTTCCTCAGAATACTAGACCACTATGCTCTGCATTTTATAAAATGCCTTTCAAATATCTTCTCTATGGCCTCCCTGCCATCCACATCACCCACTGCATTCAAAATGCAGCTGCTAAAATCTTTGCCTGCTGTTCTGACCATGTTACTGTTAATCTCCCCTCCCCCCCAACTCACACTGCCCCCTACTTTTCCAACACACCAAGTTCAAGCTTTTTGTCCTCACATTCAAGGCTCTTGACATCTCTGCTCCTTTCTGTCTACTCAACAGATCTAGTATCTTATCACATCAGCCGCCCCTGCCCTCTGTTCAGCCAACACTGCCAACTTTACATGTCCACTTGTCCCACAAATGTGTGTCTGCTTTTTTCCATGCTGCCACTTACGCACAGAACCTGCCCCACACCAGTCTGATGTGTAAGACTGTCTCCCCCTCCTTCAACCCGCTCAAGACCTATCATCAACCTGATCACTTTACTTGTATGCCATCTGTGTTGTCTTGAGATTGTAAACTCTTTGGGCAAGTATTCTATCTTATGTGTACTGACAGTGCCTACCACACTCGGACTCCCAATCCTGAACTGGGCCTCTGAGTTTTCCTTTTGTGTATAAGATATTTAAATGTAGGTACTTAAAACTATATTTTTTTCTTTAAAGAGTCCATACCCAATATGGAAACTCTGTGCTTATCTGTCTCAGAAGTCTGTATTCCCTATGTCAAGCAACACAACTCCACATATTTGCCAAAGTACTGAACCTCTCCCTAAAAGAAACCTACCCAAAAAGCAGCCATAAACACAAACAGATACATTTAAGAACAGTGGTTATCAAACTTATTTGATCGTGTCCCCCTTCTTTGTGTCTCTAGTAGTTTATGCCCTTCCCCTGCCACACAAGTACCTATACCGATAAAAAACCCAAGATGCACCACTCACTAAACATTAAAAACAGTAATGCAGTGATTCAAACAGAGCCATTTAAATATATAGTAATGTAAATTTTAAGTGAGATATTGCTTATTTGCATCATACTGTTGTTACTAACGTGATGGGTGTGCCTTTTTTGGGAGCAAAGCAATTCCATCCTGGGTTGGATGCTTGGGACAGCTATCCAGAGATCCCTTTGTACCTTCAATTAAGTGTGCACACCACGTCGTAACAAGTGGATTAAACAACAGATGGCAACAACTTTGTACAATGCTATGCAAGCTTAACAGAAATCTGTCAAAATTCACCATCTAGAGTCAAATGCATAGTGCCAGATGAAGACTCGATATGTAGGGGTCTACCAAATTTGTGGCCATGAAAATCACGTCATGTGAAATATGGTTTCCCCTGTGAATTCTGGTCTTTATGGCCCAGCTCTGAAGGCAGAGCTACCCGGGTGCCCAGCTCTGAAGACAGCGCCTCCCACCAGCAGCAACACAGAAGGGTGGCATGGTATTGCTGCTCTGCCCTCGCAGCTGGGCAGCTGGAAAGCCATGGCTGCTGGCTGGGCACCCAGCTCTGAAGGCAGCACCGCCTGCCAGCAGCAACACAAAAGTAAGGGTGGCAATATCGCAATACCCTAATAGGCTTTTGACCCCCTTTCAAGTCCGGGCCCCTAGTTTGAGAAACTTGGCAGAGATATCACACATTTTTTATGGGTTGGTCATGGCATAAACAGTACATTTAACAGATGTGTAACACATTTGCTATTTATGCCATGACTAACCCACAAAAAATTGTGTCATTGCTGTGGGTAAAATGTATGCAGTACGTTTCTTTTTCCTAAAGCTTCTCACGCCCTGCTACAATACATTCTGTACCACCCCCGGGGGGGCCCGTCCCCCACTTTGGGAACCTCTGATTTAGAGAACAATGCACTATACTCTCCCCACTCTTTGTTGCTCAAGGGACACCAAAGGTAATTACAAAAGCAATTGAACTGCATTTTCTAAAGGTGGCACTTAGTAGAATGCAGGCCCCACTGAGGACATAAAGGAGATATCTATGTCCACAGGTTTGCCCATGTATTTTTTGCTGACTACTTAAGCATGCAAATGCATGATCTTCATAGTTTAGATGCAAAATGCACGTCTAAACTTCCATGTTTACGGAATTATTGGATAGATTATCAAGGAATGTATGTTATGTGGAAATGTGTACACACACACACACACACACACACACACACACACACACACACACACA